ACCCACGACCTTACGGTTTCGAGTCCGAGAGCCTAACCACTAGGCCACCGACGCCACAACAACAACAACAAATGTTAACACATTTTTTAATGAGGGCGTTAAACATTAAAAATATAATCAAATTATTATCATAGTGAATACAAGTTGCAGACCCACATGTGTCATTGTTATTTTTCTATCCTCTTTCACCCTCAGGTGTGTGAAATTTGCTTCTCAATGAACTCTTTCATAGTTAAGTCATCAACCTTCGTCACCCGTCTGTTGGAAATGAACTAAGTCTAAAAATATTTCTCATTAACCATAATGTTTCCCCCTCATGAGGCTTAATCATCATCATCCAGTGCCAGATCTGCGACAGACATCGGCGATCATGGATCTCCATTCATTTCGTTGCTCGGATGCTCTTAAAAAAAGCTACGTTTCCCTGATTTTTCAATATCACCCACTTGTTCAGGTTCCCCAAGTAGGTTGCTCTGGGCCTACCCCTGCCTCGCTTGCCTCATGAGGTCTAATATGCTATACAATAAAAATGAAGAAGAATTGCAGCTTAGAAGAGATATTCAAGCTAACGTGGTGCAGTTGACGCGGTATCTGACACACACTGTACGCAGTGGGTGGTTGGCGGGTGCTCTGGTGTGTGTTGTTTGCTCCTTATTTCCTATCAAACATATATCGTTCTTATCTTCTCTTTATTCTTTTTTATGTTTGTGTTTGTTACCCTCTTGTAACGCCTCTAATCTTCTGGCGCTCATATGACCTTATGCAGTTGCGAACACCGTAAAATCTCTACTAAAACTAAAAAAAACAAAACACTGTACGCCGTTATTCGTGTCTTTCAGAGATATGCCCAAACCCTGGACCCAATGTGCGACAGTGTGGTATGTTCTTTGCTCAGTGGCTTTCATACTCGGCTCCGCTGTGGAAGACCTTGGTTCAAATCCCACGTCGGATATTCACGAACTGTTGGGGGAGTTTCAAGTGTCTCCACCTACGTAGATCTTTCTTACTGCAGATGGACGTTCAATTCAGAGGCCCCACCCTTTTTAAAAAACAAAAAATCATTAACCTATTCGTACGCCGTGGGGTCATTTTGTACCTCTGGGTTTGTATTCTTCACATTTTAGAATACTTCTAGTACGAAGATCTCTTTGAAACTTTCAGTATTTCTCCAAAAATCTTTTTGACCGACTGCTATGCAAAGCGTACGGATCGGATTATCGAGTTAATTTCTTCGTTGGAAAGTGGTAGCACAGTGTTCCCCACGTCGTAGGGATACGATAGTAAAACACGATGTACGGATAGGGTTAAAGTGTTGACAGGAATGTTAGACCCACACTGTGCCATGATAAATTCCAAACTGGTTTCTGGTAAACATTCTGATAGACATCATACACGTAAGCCACTTTGAATTTGAAAGGTGTTATCTAGTTGTTTTTGCGTAAGTCAAATCATGATATGTGATGTTCCACGAGTAGAGATCTACAGCCACATTCAATAAGCTTCGAGGAAAGGATGACCTTCTAACCAAAGCGACAAGTCACGCTGTGTTTGCCTGCTCCCTCTGATGGAATTTTCATCTCCTTCTAATTAAATCAAAGAGTTTTTCAACACGGCATGCCTCAAGTGGTTGACTCATTTCCGTTTTAAGTTTTGAAAAGAAAAGGACTGAAAAAGAAAGTTGTGGGATTAATTAGGTTAGGCACGTTTGATTTTTCAGTTGGAAACTAGAACAAAATAGCGGAACAGAACAAAACTGTTTTGTAATATACCCATTGATGTCTTTGTTCAAATTTGCCTTTGTCTGCACCCCCAATTTGTTTCCAGAAATTTGCTGAGACGATTGTGGAAGGACTCTGATGACATAAAATTTCACTTTGACAAAGAACATATTTCTTCTTACCTTTTCAAAAAGTAAATGATAGCAGAGCTATATTATTAAGGCGCTCATATGACCTTATGCAGTTGCGACCGCCGTAAAAAATCTACTAAAACTAACTAAGAGCTATATCATTTTATTATTTCTTTTCATTTCATTCGTTGGAATGATAGTATGTTTTTAACTTCCAAGAACACTAATCTAAGCAAACAGCTTTCACAACGACAGGGAAGACTTATTGTATTGAAATGGTCCTCTCGCGTGCTAATGTAGATTAAATTGTTTTCGCGGCTTCTCTTCGTTTCTTCAGAAAAAAATGTGCACGAAATCTGATAGAAACACTATAGCCAACGTATGGAACGTGTGGAATGCTGACAAGTCTATTTATCGAACTGCAATGTTCTGCTGTCGACACCCGTTCGTCTGGAGATAATTGTGAGGCATCGTGGTGAAATCTGACGCTCGCCAAAACAACAAATAATTGGAGAAACTGGCATTTTCCCACCAGTTTCGCAGTTTTGATCAAAGTTTTGGTTTTTTGTTCAACTTTTTTATGACCAACGAAAAAAACATTTCCGTGTGAATTATATTGAAAAACGCTGATTAAAAGCTCAAAATACGTAATTTTTCAGTTTTCAAGGACTCTTTCGCTATTGAAGTTACCAAACTTTGGCGGCCATTTTTTTCGCTATTTGTACACCTGAACCAAGTGAATCTACCTCTTTCATTTACAAACATCTTCACTTCTGCTCAAGATAGATTGGCATTTTTTCCATCAAAAGCAAGATGAATGAAAAACTTTAAGATGATACCAGTAACTCCGCATGCGAAAAAAAATGACGAGCGCCTGATTCCACCACGCCGTGACACAATTAATGACGTGTTGTGCTGATGTCACGGTTCTGAATAGCACTTCCAGGAGGGATTGTATGGGCCGACCCTGGCATGCCAGCCTC